GGGGGGGGGGGGAAGAAAAAGTGTACCTGAGGCAAAAAGGACATGTTCATTGTAATGAGAATTTTTAAAATTGTAACATCAGTAATTACTTGTTAATTCCACAAAGACTATTCTAGATAATGAAGTTCTTCACCCTCCCTTCTCAGTATCTATCCATGGTGTATGCATTTATGTGAAAGGGTAGAACTTAATCCTTTGTGCTAAAATAATACTGATCTTAAGAGCATAAAAAGTATTTCACTTAATTACTGCAGAGATATAAAACATGCCTGCTGTTTTTCTCCAGCAGAGGTCTCCCTTGTTTGACTACATCAAAACTTTGTTTTAACCATTAGCAACAGGTGACAGTCTGCCCACAACTACCTAGAAAGTCTAAGAACTGCTTTGCTTTAACTATATCTTTCTGGCTTATATACCCCTAAATGAGATTTTAAAATTTTATTAGACAAAGGTTTTGGCCCCAGTAAAGTGAATTTCCATGACTATATTTTTCATGAATTTTTAATCTCAAAATTAAACTGAGTTCTTCCTATGTCAGTGCAAAAATTCTATTCCTTCTGAAAAAGCTGTTATATTCTACTTCAGTAAGCAATAAAACCAAAATAAATCAAGTTCTAGTTTAATGTTCTTAAATGATGTATGATGGTATCTACACTTCTCATTTGACTGCTGGCTTATTATGTAAGTAAAAAACTTAAATAAAAATAGTAGTGATTGATTCTTGTATTTTCCTTTTTTCACTTTACTCTCCTTGTACAGAAATTCTCCAAATACAAGTCTTCAGTGGGTACCTATCAGAAACAAGTAACTATTTCTGATTATTTTTTTTCCTGTCTTTCCATAAAGCAGACACGGAGCAGACAATAAGCACACTAAAACTAGGTGACATGCATTAGTTCCCACATAGCCATAATTAGTACGTGGCAATGAATGCACTGCCAAGTCAGTTACAGATGACTTGAAGATAACTAAGGGGGGGGGGGTGTGTGGTAATGGAACTATCCCAGGACATTTTCATAAGCATCTGCAAACGTCTTTGTGAGGTTTTATCTTCTTCAGTTGCTCCGAGCCCTCAAGCAATCAGCCTGATGGAACAGAGCTTCTTCCCATCTACCCAACAGGCAGCTTGTGGAGCCCACTTGGCATGTTGAGCTAGCCCCAGATTCTTCTCTTCCAGCTTCTCTTAGAACCTTTTATGGCCATGGGATGCTGGGGAAGGGAGCACACTTAGTAGGGTTTATCCTGTTCTCTCTGGGGCTCCTGGTGTACTGCCAGTTCCTCATCAGTGCACACTGCTTTTTTGTGGTCTGAGCCATGATTCAGTGTAAAACAAGTAACAAGTAATCAGAGCACTTCCAGCTAACATGAGTGTTGGAAGGAGAGTGACTGAAGGCAGTGGAGAAGACAAAATCCTTTATTCCTGTAGTAGTGGGATTTAATCCCATTACACTAACTCAGATTCTAGGACTAAATCCTGGAAACGGTCACTGCTTGTTAATTTAAACTTTTAACAAAACTCTCCCTCAAGAGCTGTTTTACTGTGGCTCTCTAGGTTCTACATACATGAGGCAGGTAGTAAAGCACTCTGAAAACTTGGAAAATGTTTACATATTCTTTCCAAACAAATTATTTCTGGTAATTCTGGCAGAAAGCATTCCCGTCCTTTCCGTACACAGTTGCAATTTTCATTGCTCCCAGTTTATTTTTAGGGCACAAAATGATGTGAGTGTGAGACATGGATCACCAACAGACCAGGAGCAGACTACTTTTGAACAGGTCAAAAGCAAAGCTTCACAAGCAGAGCTGCTGACTTAAAACTTACTCCAAAAACCAGAAAAATGTTTCAGTGCATTTCTATGTCTAAATAACTCTGATGTAAATATTTAAACAACACAACACATGCATAATACTAGCAGATATATTCAATGGCACTACTGTTATACAGACCATGGAATTAATTTGGAGAAGACTAATTTTGATCACATCATGTTATCATGCTATAAAAGTTAAAAGTTTAAACATTGCTTCTAGTAAATAACAAACTGATGATTTATGAATCTTCTCAACTATGAGTCTAACAAACATTACTTAATAAAAATCTACCACTCCCTTTATTTGGTGCAGAATTTTTTTTTATTTTAGTCAATTTGACTATGAAACTACCTGCAAGGTATCCAAATGGAATTTCACCTTAAAATATATTCGTAATTAAAACTAACCATTTGTGTGTCGCTAAGCTGAAAAGACCTTTCTGGAAAGAAGAGGCTTTTCTACAGCCAAGTGCAAAATGCTCAAAGTGAAAAACAAACCACTGAAAAACAGAACAATGAACTAAGTTTTTCTTTATATGGTGGAATATTTTTGTTGTTTCTGACAGAGTCAACAACACGACCAGTGTATTTCAAGAAGTATAAGAGCAGGAGATTGTTTGTTTTCAGGTTTGCAATTTTTTTGGTTTTTTGTTTTTCATGAGTGGATAGATAATGATGGTAGTCATTACAAAATAGTAATGAACTGTAATTAACTGTTAAGTCCCAATGGTACAAACACCCTTCTGCCCTTCTCCCCCCTCTTCGCCCCCCAAAACTTGAAACGAGCCATGAAGTGTACAACAAATGTAGCAATCTGTAACTCAGTCTGCTATATTCATTTAGCCTAGTTTCACACCTATGAAATCAAACACACACAGTATGTGAGAAAGTTTTATCATTTTAGAATCAAAATATCCCTTAAAATATTTACATTTTACAGTAAAAAGGATAGCAAAACACAAAGTAATGTACAGGCTTAGGTATTCAAGTTTCTGAAGCAAGGAAAATGGTGGGAGAAATTAATTCACTACTATAAATCATATTTTCAAGAATTTCGGTTAAAAATGCTTTCTTATTAAAACAAGTGCAGTTTAAAGCAATAACATTCGAGCAGCTCAGCCTTCCAATTTCTGGTCACAAACTGCTTCAGATGCTTAGGAAATATCTGAAAAACTAATGAAATACACTTGAATTATTTTACTGTACTACTGAATAATTTAAAGAAAAAAAAAACAACCAAACAAAAAACAACTCTTCACACCACAAGCATATTATATTTTGTTGTAATGTGTGTGGATTCTGAGGCTTTGCTACAGTCTTTAAAAACAGTGCAATTTATAAAGAAGGTTATTGTATGAAATTCACCTTTAAAATTATTAGAGCATCTTAAAACAGAAGAGAGCACAAATTACCAAAGGCAGCAACTATACTGCAGACTTGACTAAAGCCAACTTCATCAGCTAAAGAATTTCTAAGCCTTTATTGCATATTAATAAAAGAAATCTTTAAAATTTTGAATATACAGCAATGTAAAATTTTAAAAAATATTAAACTCCTACTTCTAGCGATAGTTGGTATAATGAAAAAAAGGATGAGTATTGGTACATCAAGGGGTACCAAAACACAGACTTGTTTCTGCAAAACACCAACACTGAATAAAAAAGATGGCACAATCCTAGCAGGCTTTTTTTTTTCTTTAATACAAAGTTTTATGACATTACTCTAACAGTTTATTTAAATAGGATTTTAAAAGACTGCCTGCATCTTTTTACCTTTTGCTTTTAGTTCTGTCACTGTGGTCCCTATGTCTTTCTCTGTTCTTTTCACTTTCTCGTTCTCTATGCTTCTCTTTGCTTTTCTCCCTCTCCTTATCTTTTTCATGAGCCTGTTCTTCACTTTTAGGCTTCTCTGTCTTTTTTTCTGGATTTCTATTCTCTCTGGGGCTTTTTCCATCAGCAGACCTATCACTGTGTGGAGACCGCAATCTTTCTTTGTCTCTCTGTCCTTCCTCTCTATTCTTCCTCTCTCTCTCTTTTTCCTGGTTTCTGTCTCTGCGTCTGTTTCTTTCAGAATCTTGCTCCCAGTACTTTTCATTGTTCCACTCTTTTTCATGTCTGTCTTTCTTTTGGTGATGGGATTCACTGTAAAATCTTTGTCTATGTTGATCATTTTTTCCTCTATTGAACCCTCTATCCAAATGCTGTTCTTGTCTGCCCCAAGGATCACTGTGGCGTCTTTCTGGTCTCCTACTGTCTTTACTCTGAAAAAAATTGTCTGGCCCCAAAAATCTTGATTGTTTGTGAGCCATTGGTAGCCCTTGTGCAATGGGTCCAGCATAGTGTGGGGGCTGACCTGATAAATGAGCTACTGGTGGCCACGGCATCATTGGATTTTGAGGAAAGCCAAAGCCAGGAGGAGGAAGAAGTGGAGGTGGTAAATGAGGAGGAAATCCAAACATAGGGTTGTTTTGTGGAGGGAAGTTATGAGGTGCAGGAGCCTGAAACTGAAATCCAGGTGGATTAGATTTAGGATGCTGAAAATTCTGCTGTGGAGGTCTAACAGATGAGAAGCTGCCACTTGTAATAGGGCTTGGGACTTTGGAAATAAATTCAGAACGAGAAGAGTTTTCAGCTTCAAAATGAGATGAAGGTGCTCCTGGTCCTCTTCTAAATGAGTTCACTGTTTCAATGTTTTGCATCAGTGCATCTTCCTGTGAGTGTTTGGTATCTTCCGTCTGTGATGCAACTGTGCTATCTGCTTTTGCTGCAGTTGAATTGTACTGCGTCTCACTGGTTTGTGCATCACTTTGATACAGGTTTAAGCCTGCTTCTCCAGAAGACTGTTGTTTATTCTCTGATTCTAGTTGATCATTTCCTGAAGCATTCTGTCGGTCTTCATTTCTGCTAACATCTCCTTCCTTGTTTTCCGAAGCAGTAGTCTGCTGGTTTCGACCAGCTGCCTGTCGTGGGTCTCTTTTAAGATTAATAAATGGTGGTGATTTAGAGGTATTAGCTGTGGTACCTTCAGCAGAGCCTACATTAACATTGTTGTCATTGGGTTTTTTCCCTGCATTTGATGAGGAAGAAGAAAAGCTGGAATTCGTGATCCTTCTAATTTCCTGTGCAACATTATCCTTGTCGGGTAATTGCCGCTTTGGGTCATTTTCTTTACTTTCTTCAGTTTCTTTATTCTGTGACTGAGCAGATAAATTTGATAAAAATGCTTCTGTGGAGACATCTGGAGGTTTTCCCTTAAGACTCAGCCCTATCAAAGATCCAGCACTTCTTGCAGAACTTGAAGTCCCTACAGCTGCTGCATCCACAGTTACAGCAGCATTAGTAGATTCTTGTAGATCATCCAAAGCAGTCTTCGCTTCACTAACTTCATTAGTTACATCAGCAACGTCCATGTTTTCTTCTTTTAAGGTTGCCTGTTCATTTAATAATGGTATGTCTTCACTGGGATTAGCTTCTGACTTGCTGTGTTCATACACCTGCCCTGTTGTACCCAACAGGCTCTGAAGAATATCATCAACTGGCAACGGTTTATTTGCTAGCTCCAGAGTAGAAGGCTGATTTTCCCATCCAACCAGGACTCCAGGAAGAAATCTGAGAGGCTTCGGTGGTTCATGTTTGGTACTTTCTACCAATGGTTCAGTAACTGCTGGAACATCTTCTATATTAGATTGCTGAGGTTTATTTCTCTGCTTGTGTAGGACAGTTGTGAAAGAATTAAAGAAATCATTTTCCTCTTCTTCTTCTAGTGCCAACTCATGATGAGAGACTTCAGGTTTGTTTGGCTTGCTTTTCTTCTCTGGTGGCAAGTTACTCAAGGTACTTTCAGAAGCTTCATCCACAAAACTACTAGCAACACTTGCAACAGCAGTAATCTGCCTCTTCATTTTCTGGCGAATTATCAATCCCAGTAATAAATTTGGTCGATGTATCTCAATCCCTGTACAAAATTGTAACAGCAATTTATCATCTCCTTATGTTTTGGTTAAGGCAATCATTTCAACAAAAATAAATCCCCATACTCACATTTCTTATATCTTTCTTATATATTACTTATATCTTTCTATATATTATAGAAAGTATTCATTTTATGACATATGAAATTTTTATCATTAAACACAACAACACTTAAAATAATGAAAACATTATTTCAAACATAAAAATTATTATTTTAAACACTGCAAATTAAAATTGCCTTAAGTACTATATCACCCACTATAACTTCCAAGTACAGAATATGGGACAGTTCAGACATCTAGTCACATAAGAAAAAGCACAGAAGTTAAACACCATTGAGTCTAACACAGCTACAGTCTGGTAACAGTGGTAGCAAAGCTCAAGAGGGGGAAAAAAAAAAAAAGTTAACAGCACACTTGCAACCACAGTCTCCTTATCAATTTGTGTTAGACATACTTCTTCAAAGATTTACCAAGAATGACTTTCCAAAATGCTTCCCTCATTCCAGGAAGGCACTCTGTTTCAAGGTATACTATCAGTTATCTCTTCACTATGTATTTTGTTCTGTACAATTTAGGTTCTTGCAAAAAAAGTTATGAGTTGTAGCTCATTCACTCTTCATTTTGGCCCTGCCTATCTCAAAAGAAAATAATCATCCACAAATTTTTATAAACAAATAAACTGATGCAAAATAACTCAGGTGTAAGAAGAACAACTGAGAGTCATTTCAGGATCTCTTCTTCCTTGGCCATCTGTTTGGAATTCAGTATGACTACTATCATAGTTCATTTGCATCACTGAATTTACTGAGATTGTAACCTACAAAGACACCTGGGTTAGAGGAAGAATGTAGTAAAACAGGAAACAAAGTTATGCACAGTAATTTTTTCAACACCAATACTTTAAAGTATCAGAATAATCTTACAAAGGGAAAATAATGTATTTTCAAGGAAGCTAATATAATACTATGGAAAACTCATTACATGTTTGAACAAAATAGTCAGCATTTTAAATTTTGTATTTATTTTGTAAACTTCTTTAAGTAGTGTTATGATAATAAAGTTCTAAATTCCAAGCTGTACTTACCAGGCCCATCAAAAGGCACAAGATGATGTGGGACTTTATCTGAGGAACCTAAAGGGATGAGGTACAAATCTTTCACTTGCTTCATGTTATTGGCTGCTACACCATAACGTTTTCTACTGCTGAAATAGGCAAACAACAATGCATAGGATATCTGATCCTCTTCAGTTACTGGGGTAAAGCGAACTACACAGATCTCCTGTTTGCAAAAACAGAGAGAATAAGATGGTCAGATACTAAAAAAATTAAAATTTCATAGAAGAATGTGACTGCCCTTTATTTAAAAGCACAGTTCAGAGGAGGGAAAAAAAAGCCTCCCCAAGAAAGCAGAGAACAGAGGAGACAGAAGGAGCAGAAAAAGGGCCAAACTGATTACAGAAAACTGAAGAAAACAAATAAAAAACATTTAGTATATTAAAAAAATCAATTACAGTGCATGACTAAAAATCCAACATTTTATTAGCCAGCTAAAAAACAAGTTTTAGGGAAGTGTGCCAGCTTCCAAGTAATTATTCCCTTCCCCACACTTAACATTACTAGAAAGCTTTATTTTGTAGTCTATTGTGTCTAAAATAGCCATTAATACTAGGGGAAGACCATTACTCAGATCCCAGAGCTATGACCAAAGTCCAACTCAGGATGATGGCGCTGATGCTGTTTAATGGTTTGCTTAATGACCTGGAAGATGGGACGGGAGACCCTCTGCAAAGCTGAGATGGAACCTAATCAAGGGCAGTGGTCGATATGCTGAAGGGCTGGCTGCCGTTCAGCGGGACCTCTGCAGGCTGAAAACAACAGGCTGACCTTTCTGAAGGTCAGCAAAGGCCAATGCAACATCTTACACCTTGAGATGAAGGAACCGTACACAGCAGGACAGGCTGGTGGACTGACTGGAAATACATCTGAGTCCTGGTAGACAAGTTGAATATGAATCAGCAATGCGTCCATGCCAAGAAGGCCAACTGCATGCTGGGGGTCAGAACAGAAACAGCTAGCAGGCCAAGGGAAAAGATTATTCCTTTCTGTCCAGCACTTGTGAGACAGCATCTGGAGAACCCTATCTGGTTGCCCAGTACAAGGACAACTTGCACACAGTGGGACAAGTTCAGCTGAGGACCACAGAGACGGCCTTCCATACCGTAACAGTACCAAAACGGAAGGGGAACACTTGAGACATGTGAAGTGGTGTCCATACGCTCAAGATGAGTTACTGTCGCAAAGGAATACAAGTATTCTCTAACAGCAAATGACAAGTTAAGGTTAGATAGTAAGAAAATAAACGCCACCAGCTGCCATCCATCCCATTCAATATAACTGTCAGTTATCTTTAACATGTCGTGTATTTCACATACGTTCCAGAATAAAAAAAAAAAAAGATCATTAGGGTAGCTGGGATGTATGTTAACCAGCAAGTCTTCAATATGTAAAATTCTTACCTTGGTCCCTGAAGCTTTGATTTTTTCTACATACTCCCAGACAGTGTGAGGAGAGATCCTGCCACCTACTTGAATACTATCAGGTAAATCCTATGAGAAAGAACAGAAATCTGAATCCAACATGAAAATTGCGGTAAAACCTTCATCCAGTATCTGTCTCATATTCAAAACATACTTAATTCTTTCGGTTCTTAAATTATAATTTTAAAATATCAGTAGAAACAATTTAAATTTTGGATATTTAAACTGAGGTTTTTAGTGCAAAGTCAATGATCTATACTAAGTTAGTTATCATTCAATACTGTTCATCTACACTTCCCCAAAGTTATTTATTTCAGTAACATTAACTGCAAACAAGTACTGTGCTCCAGAAACACTCAAGTTATCTGTAAGATCAAACTCTATGAAAGCCCCACACCCATAACTTTCAAAATCTTAATCATGAGAGGAAAACAACCTACACATGCATGTATATACAGACATAAATCTGTTCTTGGGTATTACAGAGTTCACTATTTACAACAACAAAACCAGACTTTCAGAATAATTTGGAAATACCTAAGGAAAAACAGTTTTTTGAAATAATGCAGAAGAGTTTTGAAAAGCACATCATATTCGTAAAATAATCCTTCAGTATTAAAAGGTACTTCTCGCCTTGCAATTCACTGAAGATTTACAGCAAAGACAGTAACATTAATAGAAGACCTAAGTCCTTTTAATTAGAAAGCTGATGCATCCTGTGTCACTGGCAAGAAGTAACACTAAGCCTTATGAATGAGCCCTTTGATCTTTATTTTATGACACAAAGACAACTATTATAAGCAACTGCATCCTTTTCCTGCCTCTCAAGCACTGAAGCAAACACTACCTAAACTTTTTTATTTAAAAGAACAATTTCCTTACAATGGAAGGCTAGGACCAGAATTGCCACCAGACAAGGAAAAAAAAAAAAAGTTACACAAGTTTTTGTTGTAGAAGATGAAAAGACTTCTCACACTGTCAACAGAAACCACCAGTAGATGCTTTGCTTCCTGTTTATTTGAATTCAAAACTGAGCTACAAATTTCTCACCCTAGTTCAGAAAATGGATGTCACTGAGGTGGTTATTTCAATAGCAAATTCTGTCCTATCTTTCTGTGCTACTTTACACTATAGAAGATGTTCCATCATAAAAAATAGTTCAATACACCATCTCTGGAAATACAGCTGATCATCTTCAAGAAACTTTAGATCTTAAAATGTATCAAAGAACTTGAGTCCTGCTGAATAACGGGTCCATGTAGGACAAAACTGAAAAATACTTTACTTACAAATACATTAACCTATGTCCTCCCACAAATACTTTACTCATTACAATGATCATGTTTCACCGCCTTTCACCATTATACTATTATTAGCCTACAAGGTAAATAAGTCGCTAAAGTTAATAAATGAATTGTTTATTCTTTGCAGTAAATATAGATACCTCCGTTAAATACTCAAAAGAGCCAGAAACTGGATAAGCCTTAATAACAAACTTTGCCACTGAAGGCATATTGATAAACCCCTTCCAGATGAAATTCAGGCGTGCCAGAAACAGACTTTCACATTCCACAGTACCAGGTGTTTCTGACCTAAAAAACAATAAACAAAAAAACAATTTATTTAGAATGATTTATCATGCAAGGTAATGTAAATCTTAATAATTCTTTGTAAAAGAAATGACACGTCATTAACAATTTTCTTTTTTAGTTAAGCATACTTGAAGGTCAATGAAAAGAGATGGGCAGACAAACATATCTCATCTTCCAGTGGAGCAGATACAAGTTAGAGAAGGACAGTCAGATAAGCAGAACATTAATTCACTACTGTATCTTTTGAGAATGGAAAAGTTATTTATTCCAGGAGTTATTAAATGCTACTGAAGAGGGGACACAAACATATATAGGTGCTGCAGAGCCAGTAAGATCTTCTCTACCACAGAGGGGAGAGACATACTGCCTGCTGGCCTTTCCTCACCCTGCTTTCTGAGCTCCTACATTTTGTTTCAACACTGTCTGTTCACCACCTGTATGCCTGCATCCCCCTTCCCTTCCCTCATCCCACAAGCTGGCTCCTCATCTCTTCTCACCCATGTATCACTTCCACAGGTCAGTGAGCACCTCCTCCCAATTCCACTATCATCACCTGTATCAAACAGTCATTTTCCCTCCTTCAAAAAAAGTGCCTCAGTTTTTTCAACAAAGCAGCTCCAAAGAATAAATGGAAAGACTTAAGTAATTTCACAGGAGAGAGTTTCTCAATCTGAAGGTTTCGTCATGGAAAAGGTTACAGCCACATTTCAACATTTCCCAACATGTTGTTATCAATATATTCTAAGTATGCTATTAGCAGTTTTAAGGCAGCTGCCCAGTAGTACCAGATCTTCTGCTGTTACAGTAACACAGTAACCTATGTTTCTTTCTGCCTGCACTAGAAATTACTTCTTTGAATCTTCAGTGAGCTATTCAAAAAACAAAGTCCACTGTCCTCAGTAAAGGATCTCACTGTCCTGATAAAAGCAGAATTTAAGCATGAAGTCTGGTCAGTTCTAAATAACTGGGGAGTTGATGTTTTTCTAGAAACCCGTCCCTTCAACCAGAAAAAAACAGTCTCATAAATTGCAATTCCCTCTTTGGTGGGTAGCAAAGTATAGTGGAACAAAATGAAAAGAGAGTTTACAGCAAATACAGCAAAACGTCAAACAAGCTGCTGTTAACTGTCATTTCTAGAGAAGTGTTGCTTTGAGATTTGAAACTAGCCTGATTGCTCTAAAGAGCATTTGCACTGATAAATCTCAAATTCTCTAGCTTTACACATACACATATACAAACACATACACATCCCCTCATTCAACATGCTACATTCCTTAATACCAAATATCATATTAAATCTTTATTCTGACTTATTTAATATGAACTCATGTGCATTTTTAGGCCTTGTTGCACTAGAAAGCATAGTTGCACCAGAAAGCGTAAGGTAGTTTACTTTTCCAGAAGAAAATGAGGTAACTAGAAGTTTGTAATCATAACAATGTATGTAGTGTTATTTATATAAATGCATAGCACTGTTCACTCCAGAGAACTCCATTCCTAAGAAGAGGTAGACAACTTCAAATACACAAATGTATTAATGAAATGTCATTAATAAAATTAGCTTTAGTTATAATAGCTTAATAAGATTAATTATGTCTTTCAGTTTAAAGTACTGTTTCTACAGTCTGTATTACTTTGGGAGAGGTGTGAATGATGATTTTGATGAGTCTTGCTTATCATCTTCCAGTAATTCTGAAGCTAAAATACTTGATGTTGAAGAAAGTGCATCTGCAATGCTCTCTGCTTCATTGTCCGACTGCTTCCGCGCAACTCCAACAGACACTTTCACTTTTTTCGCAGAGAGATCATCAGTAGGTGGTGCCATTCGGCCTGCAGAGAATGAATTGCAACGCATTTTATTTTTTATTTAAGAAACAAAAAGAGTACTTCCTCTGAAGACACGGAAGACACGCCAAAAACACATACTGCCATTGAAGTGGGATAGGATAAAGAAATTATACAGTTTACACATATTTATACAATGCATAAATTTACGTATAAAATTGTGTAAATACATACAATGCATAAATGTATATATTGTATATATTTATACAATATTACACATAAATATTGGCACTGTAATGGGATACGGCAAAGAAATGAGGAATCAACAATAACATGTACACCCATTAAAGGGATTCTTTCTCTGCAGGTCTTTTTTTAAAAATGGAAGACACATTTATGCCAATCATTTTAACATTGTCTCTTTTGTAAATTATGATGTCAGACACTGCTTCCATATCTTTGTCAGCAAACTAGGGAAAAATTGTTTATATTCCTGAGGTATACTGAGATTTATCACTGAAAAGCATTATACAAGCATGATGTATTAATTTTGACATGCTTTTCAAAATCACCTATGCAGATTTTGCAGTTAAGATCGAAGAGATGATTTTTATGTTGACTTGTGGTGTCCGGAGATGCAGATTCATTTACTACTTTATCTTTTTCAGCTTCCTCTGATTTCTCAAACAACTTCACATTAGGCTCCTAAGAAAAGACAAACACATTTCAGTTAGCCTTTTTTTACTCTGTTAATATTCATATTGCTTAAATATTTTATGGTATTTTCTTCTCTTCAGGCATAAAGATGTCTTCAGTTGTACAGCCTAAAAGACTATCACAAAATCTACAGGTGCATTAAAGGAATTAATTCCTAAATATCTTTTAGGTAAGATTTAGAATATTTTCTACTATTGCCAGAATTCATCACATAGTCATGGACAACACAGAAAAAACAAAATCACCAGGACCAGAAGTGAAAGTCAGTAAGGGTAAAAGAAAAATTAAACTCAAAACAGACCTAGCATATAATTACAGACCTAAACAACAAAATCATAAACAAATCACTTTACAATGAGATTATCTATGAACTAAATACACTGTGTTGCCATGTTTTCTCTTATACCTGAATCTCCATGACTTCCTCTTGTTCTTTTATTGGTGTTTCACTTTCAATTTCTATTTCTCCTTTGTGAGTAATTTTTGTGATAGGTCTTCTTTCAACTTCCCTCTGTTCTTTCTCGATCATTTCAATGGTCTGTAAAAACAGGTAGTTGTGTATGTTTACTTCCATACAATAAAATTTTGAAATCCACAAATGCAACAACAGAAGACAGGATTGCCATTAGGAAACCCTCTAGGGAAGACAGAATACATTCTTATTTTGCAAGTGTCAAGTAGTTTCATAAAGCAAACTCACAAGCAGCAGTTCTGAAGTGCAGCAAATACTTATCAGGCATGTATTTAAACAAGTTATAAAGCAGACCTTCACACTAAATTTAAAGATAGGTAAAAAAAATTTGATTTTCCAAGAGATAAAGAAAAAAAGCATCAACTCTTTTCCTGCAATAGTAGGGAAAATGTAGGACATAAGTACATACAGATTTGTATCATTTTTCAAGATCTTGTTTTTTAGTACATAAACCTAATGCTCTACCTTGAAAAAACATTTTAATGTATTCCCAAAGTAATGGATATGCTAATTCTGATCAGCACTGCTGTGTTGCTCTGTTGCAAAAAATAAAGCATAAACCTTGTTTTTCTAAAATCGCTTCTTGAAGCACATTTCTTCTTCTTAGACCAGAAACAGTTTGTGTTGGCTGTCCCCAATATTTTAAGCCTGGTTTCATAAGGAAATAAGGATTCTATGATTGCTTTATCTCTCTGCCAAATACCTACAGTTACTTTTGAACACACTGGGGAAACTTAAAAAAATAAAAGCAGCAGTAAGTAGCAGTCTCAAAGTCTTGCTGAAATAGGAAAACGAAAAATACAGTCAAATGATATGTTGCTATTTATTTTACATGTTGTATTCCATTTCAACTTCTAGAAATTCTGAAGTATTTCTCTGCAATATTTAGGGCTCTTCAGTAATTTTTGAGAAACACACACTTTTGCTTTGAAGCTGTTCCTCACAGCAGTGGAATAGTTTTGTATGGTCTGTTTTCAGTATTTTATTGGTGTTTATAAAAATAAATGTAACAAAGATGTACTACAAAAGACAGAAGCTACAGAATAAACAAACTTTTCATGTCTTGCTGGGCCCTCAAAACAATTTTGAGATAACAGGAACTAGCAAAAAGTTGTCGATTCATAAAGAGGTCTATTTGCAATATGAGAAGAAAAACACCAGGAATAATTAATGTTGCAATGCAAACTGCAGTCTCAAATACAGCATCTCACTGTACTGAATCACTGTCACTGAACATCCACTCATTCTGAGCACACAGAATTCAAGAAGATTAGTTCCATCTATCCCATGTTACACTACCTACTCATTAAAATTTTTATTGGAAGTCACCTGATACAACCCAAAATTCCTAGTATCATAAAACCCAAACACAAAAGGCATGCCAGTTAACACTACCCAAATTTTGTGCCTTTTAGTTCTATGAAGTAACATACAAATTTTGCCAACATAAACCCAGATTTTTTAAACTAGAAAATCTGATGCAGTAAACAGGACGTATCTATGCAGCTGCAGTTAATTATCATTGGACCCAGTAAACGGGCTATATCTAAGAAAAAGGCATTTTCTATAAAATTTAAACCAGCTCCTCATATTCCTGCTTCTCCTTCTAAACTGTCAACACAGATACAAATAGTGTGACTTTCTGTTTCAAGAAAAGTAATGCTCAAACTAACCTTATAACTTCCTATGCTTTGTTGTTTTTTGGTTGTTTTTGTTTGTTTTTTTTTTTTCCTTTAGACTGCTTTTCAGACTGGCAGATCAGGTTTTCAGCTTCAGGTTTACTTGTTGGTGGATGAATTGTCATGCTTGACCAGTATGTAATTTAAAAACACCACCAGTTTGGTTTGATTTGTCCAAAGAGATCTCTCTCCCTTTCTAAAAAAACCTGATGTCTACAAAGCTTCAACTAGAACTTTAAAATCTTTTTGGAAATAAGGGGAAAGAAGCCTTCACCCTTGAGACAGAAGAAAGAGCAAGCACATGGCAAGGGAAAACGCATGGCTTCCCCCTTTCAGGAATTTACTACAGTTCTTTCACTTTCATCCTAACAATCCCTTTGGGTTTTGAATACTAAATAAATTATAGCGATCCTCCTTAATCAGAGTTGCTTTGGGAGACACACATTCTGTTCTTTCTACATACACTTAACCTGCAAACAGAAGTTAAATATGCTTAGGCAATCAACTGAACAACAGAAGTTGACAAATCTCACGTGTCTGTTTTCTCTCTGTCTCCAAGCAGCCAGTTCTTTGGAAGCCAGTTCTTCTGGGCTCATTTTTATTAGATGGTCTGGAGTAACCTCTCCTTTCAATACTTTCTTAAATAGTATCTAGAAGAAAGAAGAAAAGTTAACTATTGCTATCAAGACAAAATCAGCTCACAGCGGGAAATAAAACAGAGAAGCAACAATACAACACATTCTGTACAGCTATATGGATCATGTGGCTTTATAACTACCTCCCACTGTAGGAAGCAATACTGGATTTTAGAACATAAAAAGCTTAATTCCACTGCACCACTTATTCTACATAACACAATGTATCTACATATACCTGTAACGATCATATATATAATGAACTGTTGTTCCAAACAAGAAAGTGAGTTTATGCCCACTGCGGCAGTAACTGTTGTTTTGGGGGTTTTTTGAAGGTGTAAATCCCCTGTATTACACAGTGAAAAGAAGCTAGTATTAAAGAGGATGTCTATGCTTCTTGACTGATTGAACTGAATTCCTAGAGTAAAAATCCTCCCATAATTTAGTAGTATGAGCAAAGAGAAGCCAAAGACAGGAGGTAGCCTGTTCATATAATTTACAGTTGGCTAACTGTAATAGTAAAATACTACAGACTAAGCAACTTGGTCAGAATAACTGATAAAAGGACAAAAGACAAGTTGAGGTGGTGAGTGTGATGTTGCATAATGGGCTCATAGAAACTAGAAAAGAGTAGAAAAGAGTAGAAAAGCCAAGCTTGAGAAATCTGGGTATGAAAAAGCACAGTAAGACAAGCTACATGATGTAAGTGCAGCAAGGAACATAGAGCTGGGGGGGGGGGGGTCGGTAGTCAAGACAAACAAACTAGACAAGCTATATCCACTACACTTTGAAACCTCACTATAAAAAGTACACTGGGAGCAAGAAGTTGAAGAATTAATGATGGGAAACAAGCAAAAAAGAACACAAAGAATACTGAGTGTGCAAAAGGACAAACAACAAAGAGATGAGGAGAAGAAACCTACAAAAAAAATAACAGGATAAATTGCGGAAGGATTAATAATGTATCTACATATAAGACTGTTCCTTTAATCTACAGCAAAAAAAGAATTTCTGTAAAGCACAAAAGACAAATAATACATACATTATTTTTAGGATCTTTCAGGTTGAACATTAGGCTTCTGTATTTGTTCTTATACTTTGAGTCAGTGTCCCGAAAAAAAGAAAACAGCTCTCTTTCAATCCTTGTGGCAACTTTTGCTGCTCTCTCCTCAGGAATCTTTAAACTGGAGTCTGTCAATCTGTGAGAAAACGTAAGAGCAAAAATTACCAAATGCTTCCAAAATAATTAATATTTTTTTCTTCTGCCTTCCAAAAGAAAATAATTACAAAGACAAATTAATAATTTCATTTAGTAATATATCTTTACCTTTTCATCAGAATTTCCTTAAGAGACTGCTTGACACTCTGCCTTATTTGATCAGCAGAAGGTTTGGAAGCCGGCACGGCTGGCATGTTTGTTGCACTAATAGATCCTTTCTCAGTTTTCTTTTTCTTAATTTCTTGTTTCTCATGAACACCTATCAAAACACACAGTTAAAAACAGTACGCTACTCAAGCCACTCAAGTCAAAATTATTTCAATTATAATAATCTCAGTTTCTGATTCAGGTAACAGACACTATTAAGCAAGGCTATTAAGGTTTGTGTCATAAATAATACAAATTATGGACATTTCTAATCAAATTAAAATCATTAAAGCAAAAAACGGAATTCCTTCAAACTTTAATTTTCAGTGTCAACTGAAAGCTTTTTTGTCTCGGCACGTGAACATGTCACTAGTTTATAGAGCAGCCGCCTTCTATTTAAGAAAACAATGGAAAATAAACAATATTCATTCATTTACTTTCTACTGTGAAGAAAAGAAACAACTGAAGACTGATAAAGATCTAACTTCAGTGTTTGATGGTAAAAAGAAATATTTATTATTCCTTTCACCTACTGAGTACAACTTAAAATGCATTAATACCAGAAGCAAACACTACGTTTTCAAGCAGCTACAAAAAGACAAGATTTTCTTTTCTGTCGGACAGACAACTCTCATTAATGCCATTATGATCCCCACCAAAATTACTGATTTCCCCTTCCTCACCAGCAAGGTGGTGCAGACCTGAGACAGCTGTTTGCCATTCTGTACTGTGATCTAAAGTATCCATATGCTAGGCTTGTTAAGTAATGCAGCTCTAATAATGGCTTTATTTGCCCAATACTTTTTTTTGCTCATGTCCTCCTCAGAAAGAAGATGAAGAACTGAACTAAAACTTTTCAAAAAAAAGTGGCCTGAGGATGTCACGGGACATGGAAAACCCTCCATGTTGCTGGCATGCAACCTTTTGGCAAAGTTTCAATCATCCAAAAGCACAGTCCCGTAACAGGTAAGTGATGGGCAAGATTAGCAATAAACAGTGCCACTATAAGCATAATTCAAGTCAGGAGATTAAGTTAAATGTGCTGTTTAATAATTTTATGCTAGTTGTCCTAAATGAGACTTTCAAGCCTGTTGTTACAAAATCATTTTCAGATTAAGTTCTACTCTGAAATCATGACTAAAAATCTTTTTGTCAGCTTCTAGTTCAATTAATGTATTTTGGAACAATTCAATTACTTCATGGATACCAAAGACTCACTTCACTCCATGCAATCTGCAGTTAGAAAGGATGTCCATTTCTTTGCGACTCAGAATTTCAAAGTTGAACAACAAGGTATTTGAAGTCTAAAAGATACCATTCAGTATACAATACTTTATATATAGACTTACATTCAACCCTAACACTTTAAATTGCTTTCTTCCACCAGTAAGAGCTTCTAGAATGCATCAGCATTGTCAAAAGACCAGAAGAGCAGATTTATTGTTTTTTAGACAAGAATTCAAAGCTTGAGTTTAGCAGTTAAAGACACAGTTCTCACACAATCTCACTAGCTTTGCTGCTGAGATTTCAGTCTCAAATAACAACAACTTTGTATTACCATGATCTTAGAAGAATAATGCTTCCTGGAAGGGAGCAAGGGAGCTATGGAAAGGACAGAGGCTGTTAGGAAGGGAAATATGTCCCTTCAACCTTTCAAATAAAATTTAGATGAAAATCTGATGGCTCAGCATGCAATATAATGTGCCCCTTTGAAATCAGCTGATATAATTATTTGTCAATTTGTGCAAAAGACATCAGTAAGTCAAAGTATAATTTATACAGCAATTACAACACTTATGTACATTAAGTATTTCACAGTATTTTATGGAAGAGTATTTCAAAGTTCTCTGCAATGTGAAATAAAGTTTAATACAAAGATGTCTCTGTACTTTTTTTCCCGTTCCTGATTACGTGAGCATCCTCTTCTATTCTAATAGTAAACACTCACACAGCTACACAGGAAACATTTACCTGCTAAACAACATTTTAAAAGAAATGAGACATAAAGACCATAAACATCATGGGAACAAACAGCTCTTCAGATCACCATCACTTGCATTACAGAATGTGGTTTGAAAAACTGATACTATAAAGTAAGTCACCATCCTTTGCTATACATATATGTGAATTAGAGCATGGAGTATTTCACCAAAACTCACTACCTGATTTTGTGGACCTTTCAGCCATGCTAAGGGATTCTTTACTTATTTTTTCATTTTTATCTTCAGGGGACCGCCGAGGAATTACAGCAGTTTGTGATCCTTTTCGAGCAGGAACATGTTGCCCTTTTTTAGTATCTGAGTCTCTGGACTCTGACAAGTTCTTCCCATCACCAGATTCCTGAAAGAAACATTTACACATGTTGGCACGCTACTTACTGAATGCTACAATGAACCACTACATAATTATCACACATTTTCCCTTTTTTTTTTTTTTTTGTAAGTATAGCATATAATGAGTTCCCTAGATGTATGCAACATTGAGTAATTTCTAAAAAGCTACTGAACAGTATCCCAAATTACTGCCAAGTATTGCTTAACACTGTCTTTGAAATACTGGCCAAAGACACATCACTGACAATTTGCAGTTAAGCTCTATGCTGAAAACCACTACATTTTTAGTTATTTTAGAGTGTCATGGATACCAATGAACATCCCTTAACCAGTTTTAGCCACAAATCCACAGGAAGTCACTTATGTTTAGAAACATAATTTTAATTTTTAATGGTTAAAAACAACTTTAATTTTTAATTCTGTAAACCAAAATTAAATGTAATAGCTTACATGTCAGAACTACAATTCTCCTATTCAGAAATCAGACAAAAAGGATTACCAATGATTAAGTTATGATGACTATGATGCTATACACTAAAAGAGTCTAAACAATTGTAGTAAAACCATCTCACTGCTCTTGCAAATTATCCTTTGGTTACTAGAGACACACAGAAAGTAGAAAGGCCCTAATTAAAATGTTAGGCATTTTCTTCTACATGCAATCAACTTAAAGCAATCAAAACTACAATACTGTTTTCATACTGTTTTACAGATATTAAAAGATCTGTGCTTTATATCATACAGCAAACTGAGATGTTCTCTAAAAGTATTTAGAAGTATGAAAGAAAAATGCACAAAATCCTTCACCATTTCTATATACACACACGTGTGATGTGCATGTAACCCTGCTCAATGTAAGGAGTTTAGCAATATCATCTTGAAAGAGTCAAGCCAGTTAGAAAATGAAGTAACTCTAAAAATAATAACGGATAAGTTTTAAATTAAAATCACAAAAATGTTTGAAACATAGTATTTTAAATTACAGGGGGTTAGGAAAAAACTCCTCTACCCTCAGTAATTAACGGAACTTTAAGTATTAAAATAAGACTTACCCGTCTGAAGATTTTGACTTTGTGCTTCCCAGTGTCCTCTGTCTGCTTTGTTTTTTCAGTTGTTACATTTACATTACAAGCAGGTGTTTGCTTTGACATCCCCAGTTTTTCACACTCAATTGCTTTTTCTTCTCTATGGATTTCAAGTTTCACTTGAGTCTCTGATACACTTTGATCAAAACACTCCATTTTTTTGTCTTCTTCAGCACAGCATTTCACACACACATATTCTTTATCTTCTTCACCCATCTGCTGTGCTTGAGAAAGGCTGAGTCCAACACAATCACCATGAAACCAATCATCACATCTACCACAGCCTACCATAAACCTGAAAACAAAGTAAGACATAGCTCAGTGTACAGACTACAACAGAAAATACAGCAACTTAAGCAGAATGTACCATAGCCGCTCTGATTCGTGCATCTCAACAATTCATTCTTACCTGGTAAGTGATTTTCTTTGTAGCTTTACATCCATCTCCAGCCTTACGACATGGTATGATCTTCCTGAGAAATATTTTTGGCCTTTATGCCTTTTGCAGTAGTCCAAGAGACTATCACAACCTCATTATGTTTTTGTAACCTGCCTCCAAATCCTACCAACCAGATTTTTTCAGACTACTATTAAAAAAAAAATGATGGGAATGTAAAAATAAAAACCCAAACACCCACAATAAAAAAAAAATCCCACAAAACCTCTCAAAACGTGTTTGAAAATACTTGAAATTTTTCTTCCAAGATTGTACTGCTTTCCTTCAAATACAGTCATCATCCTTATAGCAGAAATGTATCAACTGCAATCTTCCACAGCAGTAAGAAATGTTTAAGTGTTTTGACAAATAAGATGAGCACAGAAACATCAAGCTATTCTAAATTAGTTTGGTTATTTTACTTCACATTCTTTAGACCATTATTACTGAATTATTTCTAGAAAGTTGCTTTTTATTCTCTTTACTGGTGAAGATGGGGCCAGGAGTTTGGCTTTCAACTACATCTGTCTAGCTTGCAGGGACTGGTTGGTTTGTTTTAAACAAGGTACATGCCACTTCAGTGTTGCTTCGCTATTTTCAGAGCTAGTAGCTATTTAAAGACTGTTTCAAACACCAAAATGAATATAATTTAAAGGACACCCTTCACCTTAAGTCACTTCAACTGCTTCACTATTTTAAAAGTAACTTTAAGTATAGGTACCATTTTCAAAGTGTTGTAAAGATCGCTTGGTCTAAAAGAAAACCATAATTTCTGACTATTTTGTGGAATAATTTTGAAAACTCTATTAGGTATCACTAGTACATAATTTCACTGATATGTACAATTTTTATTTGAACTATTTGTGAAGGCTGTGGAATTTCAAAGTTACACAGGTTAAACACCTCAATAAATCTATTTCAGGAGACTTAGATGGTAGTAATTATTTTTTTACAATCCTTTCTTGTAATAATGAACTTGGCATCACTACTAAAGATCTGCTTTCAAATGATGTAAGAAGAACTTCTGCATTATCCACTTGAATTTTTTTCCCCTTTTGGTTTTCTTTTTGTTTTATACTTACATAAACTACAGTAAATATATGTACTATTATATATATGTTGTCTGAAGAAAATCCAGAAAGACTGCACGTTACGAAAAGTGTGAGCTCTCTGTTAATACTGAAAAATTATTTACTAGCTTTTAAATTCCACAGAAGACAGACCGATTTTGAAGTTCATGAAATGCTAAATACACTGACGTATGAAACCTGTTTCTTTCATCTAATACCCTATAAATCTCTTTCGTAAGATGATTCTGAGGAAATGATACCTAACTTATGCGTGTTCCTATTCAGGCTAGGATCTGCTATCTGCTGACTTACCTACTTTGCAAAACCATATAAATATTACAAAACATGCTTAGAGGAAATCTTGTTCTACAGAACTGTAAATGGACACTCCAGATGGCTCGATGCAGGTATTGTATTCAAGAACTACCAGTATCTTAAGAGATGAAAATTCTAACAGCAGACATTTTAAACAAGAGAAGAAAATATTGTGCCTTATGTTCCTTCCTTGCTTACCCCAAAATAAATCAAGATTAATTTCTGCTGAAGTAAACTGTCTTTTGATGCAAAATGAGTCTGAGAAGTTTTAAAGCTCTAGCAGTTTGGGGAAAAAGGCCATTTCCAGCTTCACTAGCCTATAATGCTGTTTGCTAGATTTGATGAAAACAGCTTTTAGTCCAGTCTGTGAAGACAACTATCTTCTAATTTTTAATTTTGTTTTTCTGAGCTGCAAATACATTTATGGTATTACTTATCACTAACAAACAATATCCATCCATCTATTTAGTAGCTTCAATCAGGAAGGCAGAGGTTCCCTCACATTTGGTCAGTATCTCCATCTTTTCAGATCCACATTCCAGCAAAGTGAAGATACAAGAAAGGTAACATTACAGGACAACTGCTTCTAATCGTCTTACCACAGTAATACCATAGCATTCATAAACACAACAGAAAAACAAGAGAGAAGTAATGCAACTTCATGTTTGCTCCTTTCCGAGAACCAAACGTGATGACAGGTAATATAGCATAAGTGCCTATTTCACAACTGCAAGGATCCACAAGAGGATGCTTTACAACACAGGACACAATCTTGTACCATTGCAAGAAAGTATTAGTAAAGCTTTGGCAACACTGAAACTGTTACAAAAATTCCAAGCGTTAAGATCTTCTGCAGAGCTGAAGATCAAAGCATACAGTCAAGTACTTCTTGCTTAAAGGGTATTTTGGTGTAATAATGAATGCCTTCTCATTAATAAAAGGAGGAAACCAAGAACACACTGTCTTGAAGCCACAATTGCTACTTCAATTTTTATTAAAATGTAGGTATTTTTCCTCTAGCTTGTAAATTCAGGCATTGAAGATGAATTTGTTAAGTGAGTAAGGCAGACTGCAACTTTTAGCAACCAAAACAATATTATGATTATTATTTACAAAATGGACTAAATTTGAAGAAAATTTAACTCCAGAGACTAAACACAAGATGCTGCAAATCAACTTTAAATCGACAGCATGTGGAATTTTTCAGCTTCACTTACCCACAGTAAGTGGGCAGTAAAGAGCTGTATGATATAAGCAAAGCACCAGAATAGGCAGCCAGTCTTACGTATTTATTTTCCAGTCTATTAAAAAAAGGTAAAAAAAACCCTACAATGAATTTATCTCAGAAAATACCATTCTTCACTAAGAATATACACCAAGATGGACAGATGTCATTCAAGCCATCATAAGCAAAGTACGGAAGACGGAATATCCACTTGGCTTCATTCCAGTCTTCACAATAAGGTTTCAATTACACTATATTTAAACACACGATAAAACTTCAGACTTCAGGATTCAGAAACTAAGACTGCAAAGCGAATCTGGAAATGTCCATGAAGTTTGTACTAGAAAACAATGTAGTGTTTACAACTGTCTTGCTTCAGCCTAATTATACAAAATGGTAAAAAAACCTGGTGCTGTTTGCCTAAAATATTCACTATTTCTACTAGTATTTTCACACTAGTCAACTGCAAGACTGCAACTTCTAAAGTCTGAGAGAGAACATTCTGATTTTTATACCAGTAATGTAAATAATCCTTTCTACCATAAGGTCACTTTTATATCTTTATCTGTTTCACTCATCTACAAACAAAACACAATTATGATTTTTAACAGCAGTTATAACTGGGAAATGGGCAATGCTCAAAAACTAAAAAGGGGAGTCAAAGGAATGTGAAGCCTGGCTTGAAGGATCAAGGATGTTCTCTTGCACAGCTGTCAGAGTTGTGACTGAAGAGGTTCTGATATCTTGGACTATTAAAACACCAAAGTTTTTGACTGTAGATTGCTTCAAGTTTGAAGTGCAGGAGTTTTACCCATGTTGTAAGGCTGGATTAGAAGATGTAAAGCTGAAAGAGAAAGAAAAATGTATTTTAAAATATTAAACTATGCAAAATTCAGTAACAGAATTGCTTTCACTGGACTTCAACATAAAAAAAATTAAGAAAAATCTAAAAAGAGCTGACAGGTGACAGCAGACTGTACTATAGTTCACTACAATCTTTGCACAGAGTAAAGAATCCTCTTGGTAGTCCACACGTCGTCATGGAAAGATGCACCTTAAAATCACATAGTAACAAGAGAGGTAATAATGCAAACCTTCCACAATCTCTTTTAGGATTAAGAGATTTTTCTTTGGTGTGTTACCTGTAGTAAATTATATTCATCTGTTAGATGAAAAACTTAGGCTTGGATGATTTATTTTCAAAAATATACAGGCTATGTTTTGAAATTAATTTACATACATTTACATACCAAAAGCAAGTTTCCAGAGAAATCTATTACTGTGAAATAAGATCTTACAAGTAAAATGGGCAGAAACTATCTCGTTCATTGTAAAGCTATACTTATGAGCAAAACACAAAGAACTGGGAGCTGTCAGAACAGTTCACTGTAGGCCAGTAATCAGCATTTAAAATTAATTAATAATGTAAGATGCATTACCACAGAAAATCATTTACTTCAGAAATAATTACCTCTCTTCAGTCTTTTGTATTTGTGGTACATAGGATAGTAAAAAAACCTGCAACAGGGCTCAAATTTTAACAAAACAAAAATGCAAAACTTAAATTATTCAAAACGATGCCCTAACCCTGAACACACCTAAGAGGAGCAAAACCACTTTTCAGACACTTTTTAAGCACTTAAATATTTAAATCATGTCCCACATCTGCATTTCCCCTCTTTAATGGCACTGTTCACCAATATTCTGTAAGATCTGTTTTAAACTAGTATTAACATTATTAACGTGTCTCAGCTGCACTGATGCTACAGACCAGTCAATGTTAAAGCAGAAACACTGCACAGAGGCAACTGGTTTTCCTTCAGCTAATAAAGATGCTACTAGTAGAGAAGATACAGCAGCTTCAGCAGAGCTTGTTTCACATAAGTGAAGTAGTATGGGCTTGATTCAAAGCTCAAGTGAAATTAATGTCTGTCAAAAATAATCTGCCCTACCTTATCAGAGCCCATATATATGAGCAGGTTTTCTTGTCTGCTTTTTGTACAAAAGTTTAGCACAGATGACATGATTTTTCAGGTTTTGATCTTCTAAAAACAAAACCAACTATCTTCAAAGAAACACTATCAGCAGATCATTTACACAGAATTTGCAACATAGGAAGATGACACTGCAAGCTTACTTCTGCAGTATTAAATTTCAATAACCCATCTTTTATGTTTATTTTTAACTTAAAGGCATAATATTCCATGATCCAGTGAAAGGTTGTGCTGCTCATGGCAGGGGTGTTGGAA